CTCCTGGGCCTGCTGTGGCCGTTCCGCTCGTCCTACGCCCGGTGACAATGGCGAGCACTGCTGTCAAAACCCCGGCAGCAAACCTTCCCCCTGACGTCATCGCCACCGCCCTTCTGAGCCTGGATAAAACCGCCAATCTAGCCCGAGCACTGTCTTCTCCTCCCACCCAGATGCCTTCCACGATCTCTGATACTGTCTCCTCCACAAGCGCGGGTTCTGCGGAGAGTAGCCCCGTGGCCTCAACCTCCTCCCCTGCTTTATACGTCACGGCCCGCGTCGGCGCCCGGGGCCGGGTGCTTGCTTCGGTCAAGATCCCTGTGCCACCCTCTTCGCCCCCGGCCTTTCCGTTGGAAGTCCACTTGAAGGAGGGTGACATTTACGCAGACACCCCCCAGGCCCGGCACGACCTTGCCCAAGCGATCCGATCTTCAGACCTCGTCTTGTCGGCACGTCTGGACAGTGACGGGCGTGCTTCCACGCGTGATCCTAGAGATTTGGTAGGACAGGGCGTTGTGTATAAATTCCAGTCGGTAGACTCGGCACAGTGGTCAAGGGCGGATATTTCTCTAACCGGCCGCGGTGCATTCGGAGAGTTCGTGACCGGGGGAAAGGTGAGGTAACCGAGGTGAAAGAGAAATAAACTACTGTGCAACACGTTTTGCCATATTACTACAAATTCCTTTATATGCGCAGCACACTGAGTGTGCGTATCCTGCAGTGATGCGTCCCGCTATGTCCTCCTTCTAAAACTCGATAAGATGACTTAACAGCGGGCCCATTCTAACGTGCTTAGAGAGTTTTTGTGTTTAAAATGGGTTGTCGGTGATAAGAGGTAGATTGATCTTTCTCGATCTTAGGGTAGTCCTTTTGCTTATGCCGCATTGCACGAGCGTGTCATATTCAAGTGTTTGAGGGCGTGCACTAGACCGGATGGCCTGCACCATGGCGGTGACCGGTCGTGAGGCCCTCGACAACGACTTTGCCACCAGGGAAGTGAGGGGAGATCCCTATCGTTATCTTGTAAAGTGATTACTGTGCCTTTCTCTTCGCTACCGGTACCGTCGATTATGGTGAATTACTATACTAATAATGGGACGGATGGCAACAGAGGGTGAGACTTTGGCGACCCGCGAGTCAATCAGCCGACGACTGTGCGCTACGTGATGAAGAAAGAAGAAAAAATCACGAGAGAGCCTCTTGCGCAGTCCTTATCATTTTGTCTCGAAATACTGTACAGAATTCACACGGGAATGCACAACACTTTCCCGGGGTCATTTCCCATGCCCTCCGATAGCCCACTCAGAGCGTTCGCTTACAATAGGTATGCGCGCGGATTAACAGTAGCTTTCCCAGTCGGCGACGTGCTCGAGTGTGACAACCGCTACCAGAGTCAGAGTAGTAGAGGCGCAGATTCTTACGCTACAAGCGCGTACATTTTTGGCAATGTTTTTAATCCTAGGGATTTCGAAAGGAAGATCCGCCCGGCTTGTGAGACTGGAGGTAGCAAAATCAAAAGGCGGGCTTCGACCCCGCCAGACAGGATAAAGCAAGCCGCTTCAAGCGCCGCGCTGATGCCTATAAACAATATGAAGTAACGTACATCGCCCGTCATTTTCGACAGGTACAAAAAGAATGGTAAGAAGCTTGTCCATAGCCCTGTCCGGGCTCTTCCTTCTCTTTGCTACCACCTGCAGCGCCTTTTCACCTCCCTCCCAGCATGCGTCTCCGTCCACACGGGCACCCGCCCCTACCACTTCTACCCCGCCTCCCATGGCCATGGAAAGTGTCGGAAGGGCTGGGGCGGTGTTTGGACAGCTCGGTGGTGCGTTGGCAGCGTTGGGGGTGCTGGGTTTGCCGTCTCTTCCAGCCGGTACGTGAAATATATGCCGGGGTCGATGGAGGAACGGTAGGAGGCATGTCGTCGCACCGTCCATCGACCTGCTCTCTCGTCACTTTTGCCATGTTTCTTACCTCGTGACCCCTGGTTTCCCAGTGGCGGCCCCGCGTCAGCTGGAGTACATGCCGGGCATCGAAGGTCGGGGATACGGAAAGCCCCGCACAAAATACCCGGATTTCTCCCAGACCCCGTCCGGTCTTCAATACAAGGACGTGCGGGAAGGGAAAGGAAACTCGCCCACGGTGGGGGACCGAGTGGTGATGGATTGGGAAGGGTACACGATTGGGTAGGTTCGGGAGGAGCAGTGAAGCGTCCTTGGCCGCAGCAATCCCGTCCTTCTCCTCCTCCTTTCTTCCTTTCTGGACCGCTCTTTGTCTCGCGGCACTTTCATCCCTTGTACATTCCAATTTATCTTTCCTGTCTCATCTTTTTCATTTGCTATCGCTGTTTTCCCTCCTCCCTTCTCTTGGCCTCCCTCACGCCATCTGTTCCCCCCAGACGCCTCCCTCCTTTCCTCTTTTCCTCGCCTTGATCGATCTCAGCCTTCCTTTCTGTGCTTACCCCTCCTCCTGATCGCTTTAAAGCCACGCTCCCACCTTCCTTCCCTCCCGCTTCTTTTCCGTTTCTCACCCTTAACCCCGTGGCCCTCGCCTTCGTCGTGGACACGTTTACATTCCAAACCTCCTACCCCCCCTCCTTTCCCATCTTTCACTTCAACCTTTTCTGCCCTTTCCTCCCTCTCTCCCTTCTTCCCTCTCTCCCTCCCTCTCTGCCGTAGCTACTACGGCCGCCCCTTCGAAGCGAAGGGGAAGACCAAAGGCGGGGCCTTCGACTCCGCCGACAAGGAATATCTCCGCTTCGTGCTGGGGAAAACGCCGATGATACCGGCCTTGGAAGAGGCCCTTCAAACCATGAAGCCCGGGGGCATCCGTCAGGTGAGGCAGGGAAGG